AGAGCTTGCTGAGTTGGTTTGGACATCTGATTAGGATGCCTCCTGGGCACTACCTTCTGGAGGTTTTCAGGGAACACCCAGAATACACTGGTAGGGTTATACTGTATATCCCTCTTTGATCTGGGAACACCTTGGGATTCCTCAGGTGTAGAATCCGTGGAGAGGAGTGTTTGGGTTTCCTCCTGGATCTGTTGTCTCTGCAAGCTGACTTAGTTAAATGATGTAATAATGCAGGTGAATGATTTTATTCACAAAACAAAAATAAACGAACATCACATTTTGGTGACACTTTGAATTCAGCACTGATTTTAGATGTGAAATAACTGTGGTGTATTATTAACTGAATTTAAGATCCAGTCTTGTATTTTACACTTTGTGATCATTGCAGTCATATACTTTAAACAGAGAGAGTCAGTCTCTATCAACTGTCCCACTCTGTATCATAAAGTTTGGTTTACATTCTAATGTCTGATGTAAAAGTTACTGCCTCCAGGGGTGTGACCAGGAAGTCAGGTTTCCATGTGACTTTATGTGAGTCATCATTTTCCATTAGTCTTTCCTTTAGAGATGCTGGGTACAGGCAATGGCTGCTTTACAGGGTTGTTATTGTTTTGGTTCTGATAAGGCCAAGGCCTTGCACACACAGACCTGCTGTTGGCAGCCTGTGAGCTGTATTGGAGTCAGATTTGTGAATAAACCTTTTTAGAAGAGAATCAATTGGTTTTCTGTGAACTTATTCCATCTTCCAATTTATTGAACGTGTTTTTCCTACAGATGCATTATTTAAAATGCATTGCAATTTGGGTATGGATGAGAGGAAGTAAAATACAGAGACTGGGCAGACCTTTCCCAGAAATACAAGGTAAAGAAAATTTTAGACCAAAAAAGGCATATGTTTTAACCTTATTAGTTTATAAATCCTGACTGGTTTAAGAAAAATTAAACAAACCTGAAAAGACTTGATATACAGTATTTCACTGACTTGTATCTGTATCTCCAGAAAATCATTCAGATAATTGGYGGCGGCTGTGGCAGAGTGGTTAGCGGAGTCATCCTGGAACCAGAAGGTCGCCGGTTCAATCCCCCATCCAACTGTCTCAGTTCTTGTGTCCTTGGGTAAGACACTTCACCCCCAATGCTTCTGATGTGTGTCCCATCAGTGTATGAATGTGATTGGCATTGATTAGTCTCCATAGATGATTGTCCAGTTAGCTTTGTAGGAGACCTAATAGAGTGCTGTGTGAATGGATAAATGAGGACACAGATTGTAGTGTTATTTAAGTACAGTCCATTTATATATATATATATTTTTTACTGCCTTCCACCAAAGACGATAATGTGTATGTGTTTATTTGTCTATAGCAGTGTTTCCCAAAGTTGGAGTCGGGACTCAAAGTGGGGTCCTGAAACATCAAGGTGGGGTCCTGAAAAGATTTTCTGAATTAATTACATTTTTGCCTTAGTTGTTACAAAAAAGTGAGGTTAGTGTATTTAAAATGGATAAATGTAGTATAAAAAATATTGTTACTATGCCCATGTTTTGTTGACCTGATACAAATGTTTATCATCCAAAAATAACTGGGGGCACAGGTCTCTGCTACTGTTATTTTGTGGGTCAAAAGCTGAAAAGTTTGGGAACCACTGGTCTACAGTGTTAGCAAAATATCTCATGAACCACTGGACAGATTTTAAGGAAACTCAGAATGTAATCATTAGTTGTACTTCTACAAATTTTGGCATCACTGACATCATAAGATGGTTTTAGTTTAAAACTCTGGCTTGAAAGGTGGTGGCTGATACCGTATTTTTCAGACTATATGCCGCACTGGACTATTAGCCGCACCCGCCATTTTTTAAAAAAACCCTGCGAACATTAGCATATAAGCCGCACCGAACCATAAGCCACACCCCCAACATAAAAAAAACCAGTACACCCAAAATTGTCGTCAAAAAAGTGAATTCAACATCAAAACATAAAAAGCAAACCTTTAGGAATTAAAGTTCAGAGGAATACGGTTCATTTAACTGACCTTATTTTGGTAGTTTTCTTTAACAGTTTCTGGTCCAACAAAACGTCTCATTCATCTTCCTCTGGCGCACTGAAACCATCGAAGTCCTCCTCTTCGGTGTCGGAGTTAAACAAGCTGAGAAAAGCTGCGTCACACAGCGGTATCTGTTGTCCTCCCGGGGTAATGCTGGCTCTGAAGCTGTGGTGCCCTCTTCACATAGCAGTCCAGCCTTTCAGAACCCATTGGTGATGGTGGACTCATTCACTCTGCTCCAGGCTGTTAGGATCCACTGGCAGACATCAGGAAATGACGCTCTTCGCATTCGGCCAGTTTTTGTGAATGATTTATCCCCATCAGTCATCCAAGCCTCCCATTCAGCTCTGAGTGCTGCTTTAAATGCACGATTCACACTGATGTCCAGGGGTTGCAAAAACTTTGTTGTACCTCCAGGAATAACAGCAYGAATTGAGATTGTTTTCTTGATGGCTGCTTTCACCGAATCCGTGATGTGGGCCCGCATACTGTCCAATATCGTGTCTGTCGAAGATCCGTCGTGTCATGTCTGCTACTAGCTAAAACAAAATGGRGCTACACCTCRGGCTAAGCTGGCAGTATGGTCACTCAGCTGTCGACCGGTTGACACGCCGTCACGTGGTTGTTCGGCGTTTGTTTTCGCACTGACCTTTCATAGTTCCCCCGAGAAACCCAGAGCTTAGCTGCTGGGAAACCCCTCCCGCTGCATGGGATTCCTTCCCCGGGGAGTGCAATGCGGAAAAAAAAGGTCCGCGGCTCTTCACTCGATGTTTATCCACTAACTGGTCCCGGATTAAGCTCCAAAGTTTTCATCAGTCAGATTCCACCGTGAAAAATGTCAGTTTTGTCCCCTTTTATGAGTTTTTGGCCATTAACTATCTTTAAATCGCTGCTTCCTGGTACAACAGTCGCTCTGGATTGCTTTTTTCTTCTTTTTTTCCTTTCCTTTTTTTTGAAGCGAGTGGTTGAAGCAAATGCAGCATAAGAGCCCCCTGGTGGCTGAAGAAAAAAACCCACGTATAAGCCGCACCAGAGTATAAGCTGCATGGTTCAAAGTTCAGGAAAAAAGTTGCGGCTTATAGTCTGAAAAATARGGTAATATGCATTCCTTCAGGGAATGTCATTTTTTACTTGAGATTATCAGCAGATACACTGTGGTGTTACATGAAAGATTTTGATTCTTTAACACAACAGAAATGTTTTTTTTTTTTTGTTAATGGGCCAAGTCTAAAAAGTTTACAACTTCCTTGCAACTTCTTGAGTTTATAAGCCGTGGTGCTTTTTCTTTGGTTTATATAGGAAAAGGAATGAATTTGAATATCATTTATTTATTTACAGCAACAATGTGCCTGTGTCTGTGTTCATTATGGTTGACTGCAGCACCTTTGCTGCTCTGCAGTCAAGTTCCAAGGAGGGAGTGGATTTGTGAGTTAGTGTGTCTGCTTGCGAGGCGGCTGCCATGGCCACCAAACAAGAATTCTCATCTGCATCATTTCTGAGTCTGTCTTTCATCCATTTTTTCTCACAGTTTTCATACAGCGTTGTTCACTCATTCAGAGCCTACTCTTGGCATAGGCGAACTAGGCAGTCGCCTAGAGCACCATCTGCTGTAGGGGGCGCCGAACTAAGAAGAAAAAAAGTAATTGTTTGTAAATCCTGGTTGTAACTCTGCTCAGCGCCCCTTTCAGTTAGCTTTGTCTTAAAATACTATAATGAAGCATTACAGGAAGAATAAACTACTCTACCCATAAAACATTTTCTCCCCCACAATGCAACAATTGCCCCCACCCTCTCTCTCATTTGATTGACGTTGCACTGACTTGTCCTGCTCCGACACTCTGACGGGGGAGGGGCTAGTAGTGCCTCTCAGGGAGCTGTTCGTGTTGACAATGACAAACTCAATAATAACAAGTTTTTAAATCATCCTACAGGCTCTGACATGTTAGATAAATTTGCAAATGAGGTTTTAAAAAAATCCGTAAGACTTGAATAAATCCGTGAGATTGCTCTTATACGTCCGTATACCTGCAAAATGACGTAAAATCCTTATATGGACAGTCCGTACAAGTTAACATCTATGTTATTTATTTGCTTTCTGGGAAAGCAAATAAATCTAAGTTTACCATAGTACATTATACTGTCAAACTTGTTTTTAGGGCTTCTAATTGGGGTGGGTGGGACATAGTTCGGGAGCGGGGAYGTTGCGCTTCAACTCGCCTATTGCACCAAAATGGCTAGAGCCAGCACTGCACTCATTGAGACTTTAGAGCACAAAGAAATAGCGTTTTGTTCAGCCACAAACAAACAGCATGCAGGGAACTCCTCATTTATGAAGATCAAATTTAAATCTCCCCTTTTTGTTTTGCTTGGTTTGGACTGTGTTTTTTCTCTTCTGTGTTCCTGCTTGTTTAGATTAGAGAGAACTGTTGAAGTAAAAGAGCATCTCCATCCACTCTCCTGTGGGAGGGGTTAATCCAGTCAGCAGGGTGATTCCTGATGGATGCCCAAATGCAGGAGAGCTTAGCCTACTGCTCATCTCTGTCTACACACACACACACACACACACACACACACACACACACAC